GATAACAATAAGTTTGGTTTCTTCTTTTTTTTTTCTTACAAATATACTTAGAAATCTCTTTAAGTATTTGCCAAACTAAACTATTACTTCTCAAGCACACACTGCTTATATATCAATTGACTATAGCAACAGTTGCATATTGACTTTTAAAAAAGTATTTGATGCACCCTGTCTTTTATATCAGATGAGAAGCTCATCAAGGACAAAGATCCCTAGAAGCTCAAAAGCCATTTTGTAAATCCAATCAAATCTAAGTCAATGATCATAAGTTTAATGACCACAGCCAGTATTTTTGTGTTGTTTTGTTTTGTTCTTTTTTTATTCAAAATATCACAGTATAGCTCAGGTTGGCCTTAAACTCTTGGCAATCCTCCTGTTTCAGCCTCCTGAGTGCTGGGATTATAGGTCTGAGCTAGCATGTCTGGTCACAGTGATGCTTTTTAACATATTTATAGTAACATCTGAAACACAACACAGAACAGCACCAGGGAACGATGACAAATTAAAGGCAGCTTATAATAAAAGAATCTGTTTCACTAAGAAGATGATACTGTAGAGTGAAAAGCATTTTCTTAAACCAAATTTTAGAAGGGCTGAGTAAGATGTTTGTAGATGCCAAATGACCCAATGAAAGTTTAATGGCAAGTATATAAAAATAAAAAGCTGTGTAAGTTAAAACTCACTAAGTCACGAATCTCATTCTAAAAACATCCAGAACAAAAGCTTTCTTTATATAACGACACCTTATCTGACTGTCATCTTAAACTGATGGAATGTTATATATTACAATGCACCATAAAGATAAAACAAATCTCTAACTTGGAAACTAAAATGCAGGGTTTTTCCTTGAGTATTCTTACACATGGGAACAAAAATATATGACTAATGATTAGTCAAGCAGAATATTAAAACATTAAACAAATGTGAAATAATATAAAGTTAAAAACAAAACCAGGCATGGTGGCACATATCTTGGTAATCACAGCACCTGGGAGGCAGAAGCAGGCGGATAACTGTGGGTTCAAGGCCAACCTGGTCTACACAGTGAGTTCCAAGCCAGGCCCACTACAGGGAGACCCTTGTCTCTAAACGACCAAAAAAAAAAAAAGTATCTAATTATATCAAATAACATTGGCATTCACCTTAATACAGAACTACATAGTTTTCTGTTACATACTTTAATTTTCAACTGAGCAGAAAAATTCTGGAGAATTTGGAGAATTTGTAATTTGGAGACAGTTTAAATGGAACACATTCCCTTAAAGTACTTAGAACATTTTGTGTAAGGAAAATAAAAATGTATTTGAATAATGAAACTTCACATTAACCTAACAATGACTGAACCAAAATTCTAATACTACTTGAAGTTATTAAAACAAGAATAGTGGGTTTTCAATTATTTCATGAAAAATAATTCATGTCTTCTTACTTAGCAAATTACCTGAGAATCACATGGTATCGTTTACCTTAATAGCATTTCCTCTGTTCTGTGACATTACGTGTGACTGATGACCCAATTTGCCCCTGTTTCCAGATTTCCAGTGATATCCACTTGACCTTCAGTAGACAAAAACAAAAAGATACTGAAAACATCCCTCCATTTAATGAAAACAAATATATTTCCCTGTTTTCAAGAAATAGAAATTCAGATGTTAACTACCAGAGTCTGGAAGTGAAACCCCAATAATGCCTTAGTATACCGCTAGTCATTTTCAAAGACAGCTCCTATATACATCTGACTTTTGTGCAGTGATGAACAAAAATGAAAAATTTCATTATTTGATGTTTGAAATGACTGAAGAGGGTTTTGTTAATTTATGAGAAACTTTGGAGTTGGTCATGCAGGTTTTTTTTTTTAATTAGGCATCCACAAAAGCAAAGGGAAAGTAAGGCAGCACCCCCAAATATCCAGCAGGTCTGCAAGGTGACAGATTTGATAAGCCTTCAAATGAGCTCCCAAAATTAAAAGTGACACAGATTGCAAAGTACTGGGCAAATTTCAATCTGAAAGCCATCAATAAAGGATTCATCGAGCCTTAGAAAATATTTTTGAGGGCAAGGAAGAGTCAAATTTCCACTTAATTTGACAAATTCCAAAATGCCGCACAAACAGAAAACAATACAGCCCCAACTGAACCCCTAGGCCTCTATTTTTCTGACCAGTGAGTGTCAAATCCTCACTTTGGGTGTGACATTAACTATCTTTGAGGCCTTAGGAAATATAACACTGCTCTGGGATCTAAGTCAAGTTGTAGAATGTTTTATATGAACATCCAATAAAGATTCCACAATTAAGGAAATGATATTCCTGAAGACTGATTCATGGAATCCTGACTTTCAAAGGAAAATTATGATCCGCTGAAAAGGTCAACTCAGAGCTGGTAAAGATAGTTCAGTCAGTAAAGTTGTTGATTCACAAACATGAGAACCTGAGCTTGATCCACTGAACCCATATTAAAAAGCCAGGCATGGTATTGCACACCTGTCATCCCAGTGCTAGGAAGGTGAACAGAGGTAGATCCCTGGGATGTGCTGGCCAGCCAGACTCCCCTACTTGGTAAAGTTGAGGCCAGTAAGAGACCACGTCTCAAAAAGATAAAGTGGACCACTCCTGAGAACTAAAACAGAAGATTGTCCTCTGGCACACAGAGAGAGAGAGAGAGAGAGAGAGAGAGAGAGAGAGAGAGAGAGAGAGAGGAACACACAGGTTTATCCACACACATGCATGGAAACATGCATACATAAAAAAGAAAAGAAAAAGGAAAAAAATATAATAGCTATTACTTGTTAAAATATTTTAAATGTATGTGCAAGTTTAAATAATTCTGATGTATTCCATGGAGACCCATCCCCCAAAATGTTACACTAAATTGCCCTGAACACGAACTTGTTTTCATGTTCTCTTGATGACAGTCTTTTGAGAGTAAAGGGTATAAATGCTCTTGTAGATTCCTAGGCCATAAATCATTGAAAGCCTTAAAATAAGAAGAGGAATATGAAAAGATAAGAGTCAATGAAATTCACCAGCAACAAAAGCCTCTGGTAATTTTTATAGACAGTGTGCCTCTTTATAAGTGTCACCAAAACCAAAAATAGAGGAAATTTAATATTTTTGATCATCAGCAAACGTTAAAGATAATCCATCCATCAAACATTTTTACTGGAATAAGAAAAGTTACACAAAATAGTTCATTACCTCTATCAGCTAACAGCATATTTAATTTATCATACTATTAGAGAATATTCCATCTATTCTTTTGAAGTTCCCTGAGGTTCTCACTCACCTCATTTCTTCTTTTCCCTTGTTCCACGTAGACTGGAATTCTTGTAATTTTTTTTGCATTTCTTGGTTCTCCAGTTCTAACTGTATTTTCTCCATGCGCAGTTCCTGAGTATGTCTGAAAACATGAGGTTTGAATAGTCATTTAGAGCAAACAAACCAACAAACCCAAGGCACAGTCATTTCATGGACTCTTACCCTGAAACTGGAAGTATTAGTAAACCATAAATAAGGTTGCATTTCATCTGCTTCCAATGTACTTCCCTGAAGTGTGTTTTAAAAAGTTAGTATTGGCCTACACCTAGTAATTTTAACAGTTAGCATTTTCTACACTACTCTTTAAGCAATATATCTCTTCAAATATTACACTCTTGGTCTTCCTATTCCATTGCTAGAGGTTTAAAATCATTATTCATTTATACTTGAGCCATGTTTACATATGTTTTTATATTACTTAATGTAGGGCTGGAGGTTAATGTGTTAGGTAAGCACTCTATCACTGAGTTATATCCCCATCCTGAAACAATTATTGATTTTCTACATAAGTAGCATATACTTTTTGTTGAACTGACAATGTGAAACCTTAAATAAATATGTATGTTTCTGCATCTCATACATGAAAAACTGTGGGAAGAAAAGAGCAGAAGCTATTTGGGATTTCTTAAGAAGAAAACTCCTATTGAGATTTTGGTATAGGAGTTTCACCTGCAAGAGAGTGGGTGCACATGTGTGTACACAGATGTATGTGCATGCACGTGGAGACCAGATGATAACCCTGGATAGCATTCCTCAGGCACTGTTGGCATTAAAAAAAATGTTTCTCACTGGCCTGGAACTCAGTAATTAGTCTAGACTGACTGGTCAGAGAGCCCTGGGAATCTGCCTGTCTCTGTTTCCCCGTCACGGAGATTGTGAGCCTACATCACCATCACCACACTGAGCCACTTTACGTATCTTCTGGTAATGGAACACATGTCTTTATACTTACGTGAGCCATCTCCACAGACTGTAGGCCTTTTGCTCTGATTCCCAAACTAGACAATTCCGAGGAGAGCTGAGATTCAAGATTAGCCCCTAGGTGATCTCCCTACCCACTGTCTCAACAGTTTGCAGGACTTCACCTCCTGCTTCCCATTGAGACATTCAAGAACAGTAGCATGAGTGTCCTTTTAATTTTCTTAGAAAACATAATGTTTTGGAAATCCCTACCATGGTAGATATCATAGACAAGGCTGAAAAGAAAAAAAATGCTGTATTTTTGATAAGTGGGCATGTTTATGTTTGGGTTTGATAGATCTCACCAAAAAAAAAAAAAATGTCTTTTGGAAAAAGCCTTAGGCACAGAGCTAGGCAGGCGACAAAGGCCATGAGGAGAAGTCAAGGCTAACCCTGGAGAGGCCATATGAACACCACAAAGAAAGAGAAATAGCCAGGCATGGTGGTGCACACCTTTAATCCCAGCACTTGGAAGGCAGAGGCAGGCGGATCTTTGTGAGTTCTAAGCCAGCCTGGTCTACATAGTGAGTACCAGGACAGCTGGGGCTACAGGGAGACCCTGTCTTAAAAAGACGAGAGAGAGAGAGAGAGAGAGAGAGAGAGAAGACTGAAACACAGTGGTTGCTGGGAAAGGGATGTGGGAAGGACAACATGAAGACCATTGTTAATTTAAGACATCGTTGAAGGAAGGAAGTGTGGGATGAGGAAAGGCTGGATAGAGGAACTCTGACTATGAGCACAGACTGGGTCTTCCTGTCCTACATTTGTAAGTTAATAGAGCGTGGGTGGGTCTGCAAAACCTATTGGACAGAACTCCCTCATTTTAAAGAGAAATCTCAATCTTATCATGGCATGCCAGTTCTTTTTAACAATGTTCTATGAACTTCAAGATGTTGGCTAAATTTTGAAAACCCCTCAAACTATGTAGTGTATGGCCCTTTGGAAGAATTTCATCTGACAACTATCCAAGTAACTGTATCCCCTCTACAGGGCTTGTGTATTTCCTAACCTCTGCCCCAAGTCTACTGAGCCCCTGTGTTTACACATCACATCAAACATCACCCTACACTGTCCCTTGTAATTGTACTTCATCACCTCCCCTGAAAGTTACTGAAGGGGACTGTGGCTTCTCACTTTTGCAGCCACTGCTCACTGGCAGAATATGTATAACATGTGCATTTGATGGACGTTTGTTCTACAAATGTTCACAGGTGCAGACACAGAGATGAAGCATCAGTGCAATCAAATATTGCCATCCCTTCCTCATTTCCTAAAACTCCGAAAGGCAGCACTAGTGATTAGATAGCTTCCCTTGTCCCCAAAGCAATAGCCCATCTAAACAATGATAACACCATGTATTTCTATGACATTTTCCAGTTTTGATGTTTTGTGTCACCTGTGACCCAGAAGTGAAGAAAGTATGTTATTGGGGAAAGCTCTGAAGACATAGAGTGACCACAGGACACACTGGGCTGACCTGGGGGCTCAGGAACTAGAACTAAAAATGGGCAGTATGTTTCCAACCCACCCTGGCTGGGTCTTGATGGTATCTTACAAGGTATCCTTGAAGACTTCCACGGGCCCTAGGTTACCCCCAAAAGAAACTGAATGCACCACCCCTTTCAAGCTAGTGCAGAGATATTAAATGCTCAGAAAATATAAAATTGGTGCTCAGGGCACACAGAATGCCTAACCCTGCCTGGCTGTATTCCTTGGTTTACTTAGAACATTTCTTCCCATTGCTGGAATGATGTCTTCAACATAATGTGGAGGGCTAGGGTAAGCAGTACCTGTTTAAAGATATTTGACCCTAATAGACTAATTTTAATTTTAATATCTCATTAAATTCTTAAATTTGAATAAAAGTCACAAAAATAGTTTAACCTTATATTATACTGCTTCATTAGTTAATAAATCCAACTAATTGTTCATTAGTTAATAAATCAATTATAAATTCTCATGTCAAGCATTGAGGGACAAATAATTTTAGTCTTCATTTTAAAGCTATTATAGATCCTAATATTTAAAATGTTCTTTGTTGTAGATGAAAACAGCAATGTGAAGAAAAGGGAGGTAAGAATTTATGAAATTTGACTTTCTGCTTTCTCCTATAGAAAAGAATATTTTCATTTATAACATACAGAAATTTTAGCAACAATTTCTACTTAAGAATATACATAAATATATATAGATGTACTTACTTATATTTTAGCTTGACAGAATTTCCAGGTTTTCCCCAGGGAACAACTACAAAATCTCTGGTGTTCATGATTATTTGTCTTAATATTGTCTTCAAATTACTATAACTTGAGAAAAAATCTAAATATAACAAAACCAAAAGGGTTATGCCAGAGTTAAAGCAAGATAAGTTATCATTGTAAACCACACACACATAACTAGGAAAGCTTCTTTTTTATTTTTGGTCTGTTTTTTTCAGTGCTGAAGATCAATCCTAGGACCTCACAAACGCTAGGCACATGCCTACTGGGCTAAACCCCACCCTTCAGGAACACTTTCAAATTAGTAAAATCATTAGAAGGAGAAATCCTCAGACTAGAACAGCTAACATAATTATGTATGTTAAATACGCTGTGCTTTATACATACTTGGATATACCATGTGTCATAAATACAACATTTAATGAAATCAAAATGTCTCTGATATCTATGTAAACAAAGATGGAGACTGGCTTGAGTGCAGATACCTGAAATCCCAGCACTTGAAAAACAGAACTCTGACTTCAAAGTCACCTTGTGCTGCATAGGAATTCTATGCAAGCCTGGCCTACAAAGAAAGACCTTCACCCCACCAAAAAATATATTTAATTAAAAGCGAAGAATCTAGTCCTTAAGATAAGCTAAAGCACATAATCTGGTTCTTTCTATGATTAAGGTTAAAAAATATAAGCACTTATGTGTCTCTTTTAAAAAATATTTTATCTATTATTTTTATTTTATCAGTGTATTTCTTGCATGTATGTGAGTGCACCCGTGTCGAGCAATGCTGCTGAGGTCAGAAGAGGGCTTCGGATTCCCCTGGAACTGGAGTTAAGAATGGTTCATAGCTGCCATGTGGGTGCTGGGAATCAAATCCGGGTCCTCTGCAAGAGCAGTCAGTGCTCTTAACCACTGAGCCATCTCTCCATCCCCCACTTATGTGTCTTTTAAAAGTATTTTATTTATTATTTTTGTTTAATGTGTATGAGTGTATTGCCCGCATGTATGTAAGTGCACCCATGTCGTGCAACGTCCATGGAAGTCAGAAGAGGGTGTTGGATTCTCTGAAAAATGGAGTTAATGGATGGTTGTTAGCTGCCATGTGGAAACTGGGAATAGAAACCAGGTCCTCTTCAAAAGCAGCTGGTGCTCTTAACTGCTGAGCCATCTCTCTAGTCCAAACATATGTCTTATGACAACATTTGGTCAAGAACAGGCCGCTATTCAATCACAGACCTTGTTTAGGCAACTATATTGGTGATGTTTCATGGGAAGCTTTCTTGTCATGTCTAGAGATACTATCCAGTAGCAGCTTCCTGGTCTTCTGGCTCTGATACTCCTTCAATGCCCTCTTCCATCATGTTCACTGAGCCTTAGGTGTAGGGATCGTATTTCAGATGTACCTACCAGCTGAGCACCTCACAGTCACTTATTCTCTGCATTTTGATTAGTTGTGGATCTTGAATTTCTTCCAATGTATTTCCATTATTTCAAAATGCATATATATATA